GGAGCTGCCCTGCTGCACCCCTGGATGCTGGAGCGCGGTGCTCGGCGTAACCCACCCCGGCCGCGCCCGGGGGTACCTTGCGTGCGGAAGGTCTTGCCGCAGAGGTGGCACTGGAAGGGCTTCTCGCCGGTGTGCGTGCGCAGGTGCATGTTGAGGTTGGCTTTCTGGGTGAAGGCGTGGTGGCAGAACTCGCACACGTAGGGCCGCTCGTTCCTGCACGCAGGGAAAGGGCCCTGTCACCTCTGCCTCCGCCAGCTTCAGCCCCTCGGGCCTCAGCCCAGCACCTCCGGGCAGGGGGACCCTCAGGCCCACACAGGACAGCCAGGGTGATGTGTCCTACCTGTGCTTGGCTTTGATGTGCATCTGCAGGCCATTGCGGCTCGAGGCCCTGTGCCCACACTCCTCGCACACAAACAGCTTCTCTCCGCGGTGCTTGAAGGCCTCGTGCAGGCGCAGCTCTGTCCGGGACAGAAAGCACTTGGAGCAGGTTGAGCACTGCAAGGCCACAGGAGAGTGGGGCTTAGGCTGAGATTTAGGGTACACCTGTATCCAACCTACTCACACCCAACACCCAGCCCACCCCCGGCTCAGACACCCCCGGTGAGATGAGTCAGCCCAACAGAGGCAAAGTGCTGCTCAGTGCTTGGTCCTCCTGTGCCCAAAAAAGCTCGTTCCCAGCAGCTCTGTGCCCCCTGCCTCACTAACAGAGTCGGGCAGGACACGGGCGCCGTTCCCCAGGCCGGGCCCGTGTGCAGGATCATGTCCTCCCCAACGCCCCCGTGGCCCCGGTCCCTACCGCGTGCGGCTTGGGTGCACCGTGCAGCTTTATCATGTGGCTCTGCAGGTCCTTCTTCTGCATGAACTGCTGGGAGCAGGAGGAGCACTACAAGACAGGAGAGAGAGGTCAGCTTCCAGCTGCCCCCAAACAGCGGAGAGGGCCAATGGGGAGCAGAACACGGACTCCTGGCACAGTCACAGGGAGCACTTTCTGGCTCAGAGATGGGCAATGAGCCTCAGTGAGCTGCCACGGACTAGGGAAGGCAGCTGGTGCACTCAGCTCCCCGCTGGGCTGGGCTGCCCCAGCAGGGAAAGGCTCGTCCCAGGTCTGTGCCAGTGTCCAACAGCATCCGGAAGGGTGGTGGAGCTGCTGACCTTGTACGGCATCTCCCCGGTGTGTGACACCATGTGCAGCCGCAGCTCCATCCGCCGCTTGAACACCTCTGGGCACACCGAGCACGCGAACGCCTGCAAGGGACAGGGCAGAGTCGGCTTTTTTTTTTTGGCCCCCGGTTCTCCTGCGGCCGAACGGCAGCCATGCTCCAGCCCAGCAGGGCAACTCCGGGCATACCTGTTCGGATCGGTTCATGCAGTTCCTGGCTTCGTGTTCCAGGAGATTCTCTTTCCTAAAGTAACATTTGCCACACTTGGAGCACTCAAAAGGCTTCTC